TGTAACTTGAAACTGAAAGAACAGATTATTAAACAAGTCTCCTCATTTAACTACCTCGGCAGCATGATTACCGAGGATGCCAGATGTGAGACAGAGATCAAGAGAAGGATAGCTCTCGCTAAATCTGCATTTTCAAAGTTAGGCAAAATTCTGACAAATCGAACAATGAGTATGAGGACCAGAATAAGAGTATTGAATTGTTACATCTACCCAGTACTTATGTATGGTAGTGAAACATGGACTTTAGCCTCTGATACTAAAAAGCGTGTGGAAAGATGCGAAATGTGGTTTCTAAGAAGAATATTGAAAATCCCCTGGACTGACAAAGTTAGTAATGAGGAAGTTCTTACACGAGCTGGAGTGCGAAGGAAAATGATACGTGAGATGTTGATTAGGCAGTTGAAGTTCGTGGGTCACATTACACGTAAAGAAGGCCTAGAGAATCTTGCTTTGACAGGGAAAATTGTGGGAAGAAGGAGTAGGGGAAGAAGGAGGATACTTTGGATGGACAGTCTGCAGAAATTGTTGGAAGAGAGAGGAGTGAAAGAACTGGGAGTGGTACTAATACAGAAGGCTAGGCGCCGAGGGTTGTGGAACAGCATGATCGCCAAAGTCAAACGATATGGCACTTAGAGAGAGAGAGAGAGAGAGAGAGAGAAGTGTCCTACATAAGCTAAACTCCTAACCCCAACCATGGATACAGAACCAAAAGTGAGAGGAAGGGCGAGGGGAAGGAAAAGGATGAACTTGACAATGATAATTACCTTATCCGAACACGGTTTCACTTCTGGAAATCCCAAATTACCCCCCCCCCCCATCTCCCCTCGTTTCAGACTTTCGCACAATATTTGATTTCCCAAAATTTCGTCACTCCTCTGTTTCTAACAACCCTTGATCCGCCACTACTTGAAGTGAAAACCATATGGTGAGATATCTATTGTATCTCAGTCAATAACATCGCCTGACTGGATCCATGCACATCGACTACTAACCGAACGATTCATGACCATTCGGGGTAATGCAATATCGATCTCTTGGTGTTTTTGTCGGTGTAACTAGGTGTAACACTTAACGAAAATCACGTATCAAAAGCTGATAACTGCTGCATTACAAATCGAAGGCAACTGGAGATCTGACGTTCTGCAGTAGTACAACATTCCTCTCTTTACCCAAGGATAAATTTCAGGTAATATTAATGTTACTGTCTTAAGTGGGTTACCCATTTTGGTTACTTCCCGGCCCCCCCCACTCAGTGTTATTTAGGGTACGCATATGCGTGTTCCAACCGACCCCCCCTTTTCAGCAAAAGTCCGGTGTGTAAAGTCAATACGGCTCGACCTTTTTCTTTTGTATACGAGCCTTTTTCCGCACCCCCCCTTTTCAGCAAAAGTCCGGTGTGTAAAGTCAATACGGCTCGACCTTTTTCTTTTGTTACGAAAAGGACATTTTGGCAACACGCATGCGGTCATTTTGAAACCTGAGTGGGGGGGGGGGGCCGGGGGTTACTTATTCATTTTTCAATTTTTCTGAAATAATAAATGAATAATAATAATAAATACGATTGAATGTGATATCAGAAAAAAAAATTACCTTTCGTTTTTGTATACAATGCTTAGTTTTGTTTATCTTCAGATATTTTTATTTGTAAAGACAATACCATAAACATAAACAAAGTGTTTGTTTTGTTGAAGATTGAAAATTAACAATGCTACTAATGTACCTATTTATAACTTTAACTTTAAAATACTTAACATTATTCATTTTGACACAATATATACTCTAACCTTAATCATTTAATGACAAAACTAATACAAGAATAGACCATTTTCGTAATGTAACCAAATTTAATGCACAAATCTTTGTGAAGGGCCTCAATACAAATTATTTCATTCACCTGATAAGAAAAATAGTAATTCAATAGTCAGAATGCAAACTGCATATATTAAGCTAGGTAGGTCAATCCATGATGTTTGTCCAACCTGGTAACAACTAATGCATGCAGTTTGGATTATGTCAATTGAAATACTATTATTATTACCAGGTGAATGAAATAATTTGTATTGAGGCACCTCACAAAGACTTATGCATTAAATTTGATTACATTTACGAAAATGGCCTATTGGGGGTGTTAATGTTGAAATGCTCATGTACCATTTACATCTCATTTTAGGTGTGTTATTATCAAAGAAAACAAGAATTCAGTCACTCATTCAACAGTGTCTGACAGTGAAGTATATAAATTTAACGGGGTTCCTTGCATGATTTGAATATTAGGACACTACTAACGTTTACATTCCACAGATAGGACATACGTCACATGTTTATTATACCTGCAAAGTTCTACAGAATTTGATGTTGGCTGCAAATGGGACATAATAGCTCCAAGAAGTAATTAATACTCTGTTTCGCGATACCTAAGTCAAAGCTCTGCTGCCACGGATGATTGAGCAGCAGCCTTTTCAAAAAGAATTGTAAAACTCATCTTGGACCAAGTTTAGGCTAAAGAAAAGGACATTGGTCAAAATCTCTCACTCGTTGTTATTTCAGTCAGAAAACAATCGCTGATTCTTTTTCGTATTGATTTTGTGCATTCGAATAACTAATATCACATTGTTAATTCAGACTCATAAAAAGGCTCATTTACAGCGTCTTTTCTATGATATTCTCTCTGTTACGCCTTGTTATTGCGTTATTATTGAGTCATTCAAATTTGATAAATTTTACTTCGGTTGCTTTTTTTCTTCATAAAAATATACTATTAATATCTTTGGTAGTTATCAACAACGTGCTTTTTCTTGTAATTACTAAGTCTTTTATGTTATGCTAGGAGTCCACTGGGCCAGCGCCAGTTGGTGCCAGTTTGCGCCAATGCAATTTACTGTGGCGCCTAGTGTCGCCAATAAGGTGCCTGGTGGCATGTAGTGGCTCAAACTGCCTCCCAACTGGCTCGTGGTGGCCCGTAACGGCACCAAATTTGAATGTGGCGGCAAGAAAATTTCAAAATGTTTGAAATTTTCGTCGCGCCACTTGCATCGAGCAATCAGCGCCAAGTGTCCGCCAAGTGGCACCAAGTGGCACCAAATGGCGCGAACATATTGCCCTTCGGCGCAAACAATCCGCCTATTGAAATCCACTGGAATGTAATGGCGCGCGCCAAGTTGCGCCAATGAGATTTTGTGCCACATGGCCAAATAGGCAGTGGCCACCTCAGCATCTCTCATCATCTTCTGATGGAGCAGCATCATCACTCCAACATTATCAAAAGCCTCAGACATATCAAAATTGTAAATATTTAGTAGAGATGTTGTTCATACAGCAGCTGAGGAGGGTCTGAACCAGGTAGCCGATGGCCGGTATTTATATAGTCGGCAAGTAGCGCCAAGCGGCGGCAAGTTCAGACCAATTTGGCGACCTTTGGCCCCGGCCCCCCCCCCCCCACTCAGTGTTATTTAGGGTACGCATATGCGTGTTCCAACCGACCCCCCCCCCCTTTTCAGCAAAAGTCCGGTGTGTAAAGTCAATACGGCTCGACCTTTTTCTTTTGTATACGAGCCTTTTTCCGCACCCCCCCTTTTCAGCAAAAGTTCGGTGTGTAAAGTCAATACGGCTCGACCTTTTTCTTTTGTTACGAAAAGGACATTTTGGCAACACGCATGCGGTCATTTTGAAACCTGAGTGGGGGGGCCGGGCCTTTGGCACAAACTAATCACCAAGTAGCGCAAAGTAGCCGTCTATTGGCACGAATGGCGCCAACAGGGTGAATTTGGATTCAAATGGCCGTCTAATGGCGCGCCCTGGCGCAAACTGGCGCAACATTTTGGAGCAAGCCGGGTGGCATTTGGCGCACGCCAGGCGCGGATCCAGGATTTCTTAGGGGAGGGGGCCCAACTTTTTTTTTGTTTTGCTCCCGAAAATTTGAAAATCGCGCCGGCCGAAAAGTCGCTCAGTGGTGGGGGGGGGGGGGTACAGAGCACCATTTATTTTTTTTTTTTTTTTTTTTGCTCCCGAAAATTTGAAAAACGCGCCGGCCAAAAATTCGCTCAGTGGGGGGGGGGGGGGGGGGGGGGGGGGGGGGGGGGGTAGTGAGCACATTTTTTTTTTGATCCTCAAAAAAATTTCAATATGCACCCCCCCTTGAGCGCCAGGGGGGGGGGGGGCCAACCCCCCAAAAAGGTAAAAATCACGTGATTTTACATGATATTTTTCTCAAGGGGGGGGGGGGGGGGGGCGGGGGCCGGGCCCCCCGCCCCCCCCCCCCCCCCTGGATCCGCCACTGGCGCACGCCATATGGCACCCAGTTTATTCCACTTGGTGACACATGCCGAGCAGATATTTATTCGGTGCCACATCGAGCCACTACGCGCCAATCACATAATCTTTGGCGCGAACTGGCACCAACTGGCGCTGGCCCAGTGGAGTCCTAGCATTAGAACATATTAGAGTTTTCTTGTGATTTTCGAGACAATTACCTCAAGCACCTTTCGCATTCTATGTATGTTCAATGGTGCACTGCATAAGTTAGGAGGGAGATTATTGAAGGTTATGTTTAAAACTGTTAAAAACTAATTGTAGGTTATCTTGTCCATTGGAACAAGGTCCTATGAAAGCTAGGATATATTGCATCACTTCCAACAAAATGAAACACTAACGAATGAAGCAGAATGCAACAAATATTTTATGGCCTTACCCGCAAGTGCAACATCTCAAGCTTGGTACAAGGAGATTTGGACGACACCTTTTTAAAAACCCCGGTGCTCAATCATCCTTTGCAGAAAACTTATTAATAGGGTCTCTTTAGACGAAAAACAAGTTTATTTTTACCGTGAAGTATATGTCAAGTTCACATTTGATTATGCTTTTTTAATCATAAGCTACCATAGGTGAATATATTTGGTTTAACACACTATAGTATAGTATGATTACTATTCAGTAAATTTCGAAAGCGGAAAAAAGTACCAATTTCGCGAAAAATATATACAAGACGAAAAGACAGAAAAGACGTGGGGAGAAATCACTGATCATGGAAAGTGGCATTCTTCTGAAAAATTGTATTTTCTACATCATGATTAATCTGTAATAGGACTTCTCTTAGAGCATCTTGCTGACATCATAATGCAAAGCACAAGGCACTCGAACCCAGCAAGCAGTAGGAATGCTTCATTGTAGCCCAGATTGTCGGCAGCCAGACCTGAGAGATTGAAATTAATTTAAAAATAATATGGATACTTATTTGATTTGATTTGATTTGATGTTCTTCTGCATTCATGTAAGTTTACAGTTTTTCGTTAACAATAATAAAACGTACAATAAGTATTTTACTGACAATGCATCGAAATTAGCAAATACATATATATATATATATATATATAAACTGTTATTTTCAAAAAAGAAATGATAAACTGTCACAAATACATAGTGCCGGTATCCGCCAGGGTCTGACGCTCATGGCGCTTTACACATGTTACCCTGGTCATAGCCGAGCTGCCAAAGTAACTAGCGCTCAAGCATATGAGGTATATACCCATTTACACCTGGGTGGAGAGTGGCAAGTATAGATTAACGTCTTGCCAAAGGACATGATTGCAGCGGCAGGACTTGAACCCCGTACCATGTAATCTACAGTCGGGTGACTTATCCACTAGATCACAACACCTCTACGATAGAACAATATATAACGAATAAACACATATTGAATTAAAACAAATAATACTAAAAGGTATGAAAGCTTCGAAACCATGACGAAAATTATTTTGTTACTACAAGAATGTCTAGATTAATGATGTCTTAATTATCGCATCGTATTTATAGTAGAATATTTATTTACAACTTTACAGCTCGTGTACTAGTAAATTGCTCTAAGCGAAAGCAGAAAAATTATAGAAATAGATAAACAAATAGATCTGTAATGTATATATGCTGTAGTGGCAGACAACGCTCCTTTTTCGTTCCTACACACAATCTAAAATCATATTTTAAATGATGTATAACCTACGAGGTTTTTTTTTCTCTAACAAAATGACGTTATGACGTTATAATTGATTTGCCATACTATGAGTACATATGGTTTAATGTAATATAATGGAAATGTCATGTTACATTGTATATTTAAAGATAAACTTTATTACTGGTAATGCGATTGCATTGTAAAAGAAAAGTTGTGGAAAGGATCAGAAACAGCTGACCATGTAGCATGTTAGTATTTGTGTGCACTGCAAGGTTCTGGAGTCATCAAAATCATAATAAATTTGACCGAGTCTTGGTAAAGTAACAAGCACTGTACACAGAAAGCTATATACGGAACAACACACATGGTGTCGGGGCTAGTACTACCTTGATTTCCTCGTCTTTCTATGCTCATTACTCAGCCAGTATACATTTTCTTCCAAAATTGTTTGGCACATGTCATTTATTTGTAATCGTGAACATTCAGTGTAAGTTTCGTTTGATTCTGTGAGAATTAATTTTTTTTTTTTTTACCAGAACTGGAGTTTATCTTTAACCTTTAAAAACGTTTCATTGGGCTCTTAATTGGGCCATATTGGGCAACCCCTTCTTTCTATATGGTGGACCGTATGCAGAAATAAAAATTTTGTCTTCCGTTAGCATTTTTGTACTCGGTGGAATGTTACTATTAAGTTAACATGGGCTTTGCGTTGTATCTCCTATGTTTGTTCATGTGTCATTGGGAGCCCCATTTTTTAAGGGTGTGTCACGGTGGCGGCACCTTGCAGCAGAAAATCTTTCTCTCATGAAGTAAGTACCCGAGCATTTTATACCGGTGTTTGATTGCTACTTAAACGAAAAAAATGCGTCTAGTGGGCCCCATGCAGCAAATGATTTGTTTTGTTTTGTTGGGGGGGGGGGAGGGAGTGGGGTGGTGGCGTCATTCAGTGAATTGTGGCATGTATGCATTTTGGTAAAATTTGTTTCAAAGATTATCTCGTTCGACTAATCTATGGCGTATTCTAGAGGCCCCTTTTTGGCTGCTGATGGGCCCTAATTAGCAGACAATTTGTCTGTCATAATGATTTTTCCTATATAGTCTGAAAGATTAAACCGATCATTTCAAATCGATTTTGAGTGGTACTTAGAATATCTTACTTGGTTCAATGTAAAACTAATGGGCCTGTGGGCCACATTTTCTGGCGTCTGGCGGCACTAAGCAGCAACAATTTAATCCAAAGAATTAAATACATGAATGCCATGAAGTTAAAATTGGTTTCAAGTGGTACCTCGTTCTTTTGATTAAATGCATGTTTAGGCCCCTTTTAACGGGCCCCAGTGGCCAGACGAAGCAGAGGGACCCCGGCAGACAGGGAACATTTGTATATACTATGTTCCTTCCCATTTGTTCCATTACTCTGATATTGGAACTTCGTTTGTTTGATCTAAGTGCGCTGGGCCGCTGGTTCTGTACAACTTTGCAGGAATTACGAACCTTTTGCAACCTTTTACAAACCCTGTTCGCAAGCATTCGCCGCTCAGTGAGATACCCTCTATAGCAGGTGAATAAAATAGTGACGAGGGATCCAGAGAGAATAGAGGGCTATTGGAGATAGGTATATCAAATAAGGAATACAGAACCTGTTAGAGTTGTACCGATGAACGCTCCCACACCAAAGATGATTTCAGACGCGACAAGGATGACAGGAAAACATGGAAGAGGTGCCCGGTCTCTACATATCACAACCATCAGAATATTCATTTCTCCGATCGTCAGGGCCGTCACGAACGAAGTAACGATCATCACTGCGAAATGCGGGAAGCATACGTCAGCAATAAGAGAAAGTGCATTGATGATTGTCAGCACCATGTGCCAGTCGTGAGCCGTGATGAACTTCGGTTTGAGGATCATACCACTTAAGCATCGTCCAATAAAGCAGGCTACGGCTGCAGTGTAGGCAAGGTAAAGAGCCCTGGAGGTAGGCAACCCTCGGCGGACAGCGCGCGGAATGAGGAAGGCGTGCCAGCCAGCGTCAACCATGGAGAAGATAGTGTATGCTGTCAGGATAACAACGAGACATCTATCACGGTTAAAAACTGAATCAGCAAGAAGCTTGTAAAGTGATGAACAATTATTCTTCGAGCACCTTGAATTATTATCTGACTGGACTGGGTATTCTTCATCTCTAGTTATAAGTGCTTGTTGGCTTTGATCTGCTGTTTCTTGTTCACTGTTGTCGTTCACGTCATTCATAGACGGATTTTTCTCTTCACCTTGTGCAGCTCCTCTCTCGGTCAGGCCTTTATCAGTCTCTACGAGAAGCACAAGGGGTATTATATTTGCCATGATGGCTCCGATGATAATGAGAGATCCTCTCCAACCATAGATATTTTTCAGGTACTCGGCCAGCAGTGGGAACACGCTCATACCTAGTGAATATCCCGATTTTCCGATGCCAAAGAGAAGATCAAATCTGTCTCCGCTTTGTTCACTTAGAGCTATTCCAAGAGTGATAGACATGATGTTGATGCCCAAACCTAGTAATACAAGTGCAAGAATAACAAATAGAGAGAAACGTATCGATTATTTAAAACAGCATCAAGCATATGGATTTACCGATGGGCCTTTTTTGTAAGACTGAACAAATAGAACGTTTAAAGGGGGAATTTTCTCGACGCTCTCGGGATATGACTGCAGCAATTAAGAAGAAGAGTAAGTTTTAAATCTTAGTGATAGCCTGGAAAATTGAGATTGAAATAAAATCTCGACATTTCATCATTGAAGTAACAATTATGATATCACATAAGTACATTAAATTATGTCCACAATTGATCGTTCGAATGTCAAAGATAAATATTAAAGTCATGTTTCATTCAGGTTAATAAATTGTCAATCAATTTTAACGCTTGTGAATCTATTTTCATTAGATGTCATTTCTATTTGTTTCACACGGTGGGCCTCTGCATGATGCAGCATTCAAATTCGTCTGTGTGTAATTAATCCAGGTACCTGAACTCTGTTGTTCCGTACTCTATCCGTCTGCTGAATGACATTACAAATATATGATTTAAAATATACTTCTTTTATCTTGGCTCGAAGGAAATTATCAAAAACTTACTTGTATTTATCATAGGACAGTAATACTTGATGAAATGAACGAGTATTTCTTGTATTTATATTCACATGTCATAATCTACTGATTTTCTGATTAATTAGTAGTTAATACTGCCTTTATAATTATTCATATTGCATACATACTGTATTCATATTTTGGTTTCGTTTACAGGAAAAAAAGTGGTGGATTTATCGGAATAGGGTATTGCATTCCCCAGAACAACTTTGCATTTCATTTGCTCATTGCATTTGCTCATGTACAGTATGTGTAACTGACTAGGATATATACATGGTTATTTTTCCGCCATATAGAAAATAATTCTGATAAATTATTTTGATTGTTAACTGTTTGTAGTTCATTGTTTCCTTAATTACAATATTTTATGGTAATGACATAATGAGTCAAACTTATAATAATAATAATAATAATAATAATAATAATAATAATAATAATAATAGTAATAAAAATATTTATAACAATAATATTAATCATTCTGTTTGTAATTACTCAGAAAATATGAATAAGCATTGAATGTAATGTAAATTTAGAGAAAATACCACAAGGTAAATGTTAAAGTGCTATTTGTTTATTCTCTCTATACATTAACTCGTATTATGGTGTATGTATCACGTTACATTTGCATTTTTTTTTGCGAATAATCCATGTAAACGCAACGAATTTCCTTTTGAACCAATACATTTGAATTTAATTGAATTTAATTGAAACGAATTAAATGTGTTTCGTACACATTCGTCGCATACACAATATATTGAAATACAACTCTCCTAGGCAAAAGGCCGACACCTCCTTTCATGATTCATGTATGACTTTTTAAATTTCAATCAGATATTTAAAAATACATATCTTTAATTGACAGGTTGACACAGTTTTTCTTTCATGAATAAAATGAAGGATGCGGCGGCATATTTATTCATTTGTTCTTGGCCAGCGAAATGGGAGTATTACACAAGTATGGATTTATTATTTAGCAAAACATCAAATCGACCGAACATGATATTGATATAAGCTCTTGTAAAAACTATAAAATCAATTAACTGGTGGCATTGTATCGACAATATGGATTCGCTGGCCAAGAATAAGTACTTAACGACCATCTACAACAACTTAGAAATAGAGCTCTTCGTTGTGTATTAGATGTGGATTGGTTGTATCAATTGTATTTACAAAATTAGATGTCAAAAGATTTGTAGAGAGGTGACATGTACGCACTTAACGTATAATGTACACAATTGCACATGATATGCTATCAGAGAGTACATGTTATTAACTTGTATTTAGTAACAGTAATTATGTTTTGAAACATTCATATTCTAAAATCGAATTTCCAACGGTTAAAACTAACTTTAAAAAGAGAAGTTTAAAATAGAGAGAAGAAAAACGATGGATTGAATTACCCTATGATGTAAAAGCTTTGAGCTTTCACAAAATATCATTCGACAATAGAGTAAGAAAGTATTGTATTGGCTTCTTTTTGTCTCACGGTGCATATTGTTTTAATTAATCTTTCTGTTTCGCCTCGTATATTACATTTTCCATCAAAGTACAGATGGGATAATCAAACAAAAGATTGATTTTTTTTTTATTTTATTTTTTTTATTTATTATTATTATTATTATTATTATTTTTTTTTTTTGGGGGGGGGGAGGGGGGTATCGTCGAACAATAGTCTTTTTTATTCCCCTTTTTTCCTTCTTGAAAGATTATCATAGAAAAAGAATCCCCTGCAAAGAATGGCTCGTAAAATGCCCTCAAATCCAATAATATGAGTAAACCTGGAAGTTGTGGACCACACTTCATGCCATATTATGGTGAAGCCCAATATGAGCAGTTTCGCGTACAGTGGGTTTGACTGTTAGCAAGACACTTCCTTACCATGTTGATTGTTCCGAAACCTCCTAGTATACACTTATCCTTACTGCTTCCTGATCAGCCTTTTCAAATAAGTTCCCCCTTGTTTTAATAATGCAATCACATGACAGGAACTCACTTTATTTTGAAACAATCACGCCAATTTTATTGTTGAAAAAGGGCACTTAATGCGAATAGAATGTAATCACTTACCAGAAGCCGCGAGACAGATGGAAAGTTGTGCACTGGTGCCAACTAGTGATGATGAGATTAAACCAACAGATGCTAAGATAGCTCCACCTATTATGAGAGGGCGCTGTATCCCATGTTTATGGTTCAAAATCGCCACAAAGGAACCTGTAATTGATTTAGACAGCCTTTCAAGTTCAACAGAGATGTGTATTCAAATTTAGATTTTATTCTTCAACATTTCTCTTGGAAAACTAAAATTTCGAAACCACGCATATCTACGTATTTCTTGTTAATGACATAATAAAACAAGGAGTATTGATACCTACATTATTCAAGCAAGGCAATGAACCCTTAGGTAGGCCAGTATTTACGTTTTGATCAATACATGGACCTTTAGCATTGTGATAGAAGGTGTGGGTGCTCGCGATGTATAATTTGTTATCAATGACTATCAACGATGAGTTCTACACATCATATTATGGTTTAGTATTATTGTCAGTAAGATACACGATTGCCCCCTCCCCCCCCCCACAAGGATGAAATATTGGTTAAATTAACAACTACACTTAAAGGTACTATGTCCCTTTTGCAGCGAACATCAAATTCTGTAGAACTTTGCAGGAATTATGAATATGTCATATATGTCCTATATGTGAATTTAAACGTTAGCAGTGTCCTAATATTCAAGTTATGCAAGGAACCCCGTTTATTTGCTAGACTTCACTGTCAGAAACTATTAAGTCACTGTTTTTTTTCTCCTTTGGTAGTAACATACATAAAATGAGCTGTAAAGGGTCATGAGCGTTAGTCTACATCTATACCCCACTTCTTGTAATGGCCAAAACTAAACTGATTGAATCTTTGCGCAGCATAAAACGTACGACCATTCGGTACAATGGTCTGAAAATCGGACTATTACTTAATGGCTCTATAGCTCTTAAGTCGATTCGACAACTAATAGTCGTTATTTTTCCACTTAAAGATATTTTCAAGCCCTCCTTTTTTAAAGGGAAGTTCTAAATTAGTATTTTCTTTCAAATGCCTTTGGAATTTAAACTTTTCATTGTTTGGCCTGAAAATGGGACATAGTACCTTTACTATATCACAATTATATATTTATTTATAGGAAAATACATTATATAACTATAGTTTGATGCTCTTAAATCCCGAATGTTATATTTAGGCCCTTAACATTATATTTTGGGTACCTGACAACTATTTTGATATCAAAGCCTCATACTCTCAAAATATTATTATATTTTGATACCTAAAAAGAGATTGAATGTGATTCTACTACCCCATAAAATAGTTTAAAGCAGTCATTTTGACTGTCTACAGTTGATGTTACTGTTTGACCTGTTTGGAGCAACTCCAGTGTCCCTGTATTATTGGTGGGTCAGATCCTACACTATTCTACACTAAATTTTCCATAGTGGGTTTTCTACAACAAAACAAAAAAAGTGCAGTCTAAAATTGTGTTCTGAAATGCATAATACCACTGGTGGGCTCCTAACATTTTGGAACTTTGGGTGCCGATTTTCAACAAAAAAAAAAACAAAAAAAAAGGGCGGTGGCATCGTTTCCAGCATTAAATTTGTATGAAATAGAGTTTACGTGAACACCATTTGCCCCGCCCCACACTCAGTGTTATTTAGGGTACGCATATGTGTGTTCCAAGCACCCTCCCCCCTTTTCAGCATAAGTCCGTGTGTGTAAAGTCAATACGGGTCGACCTTTTTCTTTGTTACAAGCCGGAGATTTAGGGAACACGCATGCGGTCCCTCCGTTCCCGGGAGGGGGAAGGGGGCATTTTCCTGTTTGAGCCGTATGTGTACCTAACTACATCACCAATTCAGTCGATTTGAAGTGTACATAGGTAGAGTGATCGAAACTTACTGAAAGTCATACGGGAATACACACATGAATACCGACAGTTTATTCAAAACTGTCGAGTTACTTTTATGACATTCTGAATATAAGGCAATTTGAAGAACAAATATTTTTTTCCGGAATTTCAGTCATGTTCTTTTGAAAGGAATGAAGAATCTCAAAGGATAAAGTTTTATCTTTATTAGAACTTACCCTTTTGTTTTAACATTTATCAACACCAAAATATTAAGCATAAAATAAATATTGTAAAATGCTGTACCTGTCTAACTGCAATTCAAAAGAGGCTCACATACTATAAGTTAAAAGGAAAATCCCACCTTTACAGGGAACTATTCTAAAAAAGTAAGAAAAAAAAAGAAAAACAGGAGAAGCAGACTGATGAAAGTATGAATGATATCGGACAAAGATTAGGTGAGTCATACATGCTGTATGTGCTTTAATCACTATACCAATTGACTGAATTGGTGATGTTTCATTTTCTATAACATATTGAAAATGTCTTTTGATAAACCGTATACTTAAGGAACGAGCGTTTGATAAACACTTAAGAAAAGCAGGTTTTAATTGTTTGATTGAGTTATAGAAATAAAATAATATGAATTGAATTGAATTGAAGTTATTGGCATCATTTTCATTCACCTGTTATGGACAATTGTATGTCAATTGTCCGAACGCATAAATTAGTTCTTAATAGGTAGGACAAACATTATAGCTTTCCATTAGGTAACAAAACATAATCGATGCAGGTCAATTAAATAACTCGTAACGATGAACTTCACAAAGACGTATGCATTACATTTGTTTACAATAACAGGGCGGCCTATTGCTTATCCCTTTTTGTAATGATTCCAAAACCTTACAATATTCATTCACAAATTTTTATGTAATGGCAAACCTTTTTTACATAGGTTCTACACAGATTCTCTCAAAACAAAATTACTTGACAATAACTCAACTTAATTTTTAAACATACCATTGACAAAAATCTCAATTCACATGGTTATAGGTTTGATTTCTATATTTTCTCGCACTGTAAATGGCTTAGTAATCAAAGGGAACAACATACCTGGCACAAACGAAAATGCTTCGAATATACCCAAGGTAATACCCAAATCGGTGGCTGTGATTCCCAAGTCTCTGCGAAGTTCTGGAAAGTAAACCCCGATAGATTTTATCGTCGCAAGGAAAAAACAGGTCTGCAGAAACAAAGCAGGTACTATTTTCCATGGACCAATATGGTATGCCATCTTGTGTTGTTTAGTAAAGCTGTGTCGACAGTTTTGTAAAATCCATACGCACCAATATATTGATATTGTATGTTCTCTAAATTACCAATCCAAATCTACGGGCGTTCTCAATCATGCCCCACGTGAATCAAGTGCCTCGATACAAACTATTTCATTCACCTGATAAGAATAATAGTATTTCAATAGACAGAATCCAATCTACATTAGTTGTTGCCACACTTATTACATGTAGTTTGCATTTTGACTATTGTAATGCTATTATCCTTATCAGGTGAATGAAATAATTTATATTGAGGAACTTCACAAAGACTTAAGTATTAAATGGGCCATTTTTGTAATGTAACTAAATTTAATGCACAAGTCTTTGTAAAGTGCATCCATAAAAATTATTTCATTCACCTGATAAGAATAATAGTAATTCAATAGTCAGAATGCAAACTGCATATATCAAGTGTTGCTAGGTAGGTCAAGCCATAATGTTTGTCCAACCTGACAACAACTAATGTATGTAGTTTGGATTCTGTCTATTGAAATACTATTATTCTTACCAGGTGAATGACAACATTTGCATTGAGGCACTTCACAAAGACGTATGCAAATTTGGTTACATTACGAAAATGGCCTATGGTCACAAGCAAATGATACATATATGTACGTGGAATGCCTCGATGGATTCACCAGTTACGAACACCGAATCATGTGACACGGACGATCCGAAATACACATAGGCTAATGGCAATACATCACAAATACACAAAAGCTAAAAGCAAATGTGCAATTTTACTAATGTCCCCCAAAAGGTTCTGTGAAGTGCCTCTATTGGAATTAATATGCAGTTTTCGCAAGGTAAACGCGGACGGATAATCTGCGGTTCGTGTGAAAAAATCGAGAAGCTACTATAGTAACAGTGGGGTGACCGCTGAGGTACTGAAACCAGGAACGGGTTTTGGCCAAATCTACGGGCGTTCTCAATGACGCCCCAAGTGAATCAAGTGCCTCGATACAAACTATTTCAGTCACCTTATAAGAATAATAATATTTCAATAGACAGAATCCAATCTGCATACATTAGTTGTTGCCACACTTAATACATGCAGTTTTTATTTTGACTATTGAAATGCTATTACTCTTATCAGGTGAATGAAATAATTTGTATTAAAGAAATTCACAAATACTTACGTGTTAAATGGGCCATTTTCGTAATGTAACTAAATTTAATGCATAAGTCTTTGTGAAGTGCCTCAATACAAGTTTTTTTATTCACCTGAATGATAAGAATAATAGTATTTCAATAGTCAGAATGCAAACTGGATATATTAAGTGTTGTTACGGAGGTTAAGCCATAATGTTTGTCCTACCTGGCTAAAATTAATGTATGCAGTTCGGATTCTGTCTATTGAAATATATTATTCTTATCAGGTGAATGAAATCAATTGTATTGAGGCACTTCACAAAGAATTATGCATTAAATTTGGTTACATTTCGAAAATGGCATATTCCTTGCCACGCAAATGAGTAGGGACTACATGACTAGCTCAACTTGTCTCGACCAAGCCACAGAACTGCTTTTTATAATATTTCAACAATTAACCATCACGTTTTAAAACAGTTCATGCTATATCCATGATTCATTGTGTTATAGTTCAGAAACAATACTCGAGAAAAAAAAACCTCACCGAAGAGCCGTTCGCTTTGAAATTCGTCATCCTTCGTTATAAAACGACGAAACTCCCATAACATCTTTGGTACATACTCGCTCATTAGCTGTTTATTCACTTGGGGCGTCATTGAGAACGCCCGAAGATTTGGCCAAAAACCGTTTTAGGTTTCAGTACCTCAGCGGTCACCCCGCTGTTATAAGGGAGTTTACAGATACAATCTGCGCATGGGCAGATTAAGGTTGTTTGTACCAAAAAGGTAAAACCCACCAGAGATGAATACTGGATATGCGCTCATGAAAGTTATGTAACATTATTCATTTATGCACAGACGGTACATTCTAAGATAAGCAGGTGGAAGTATTCTTTTCAAGAGGGCAAATAAAAGGTATTCATGAAGCATATTTAGGACTTTGGCAGTTATTTTTCTAAGATGCTCAAAGTGGAACTTCTCCATGTGTAAAAGATTTGTGGATATTTGGGGTCATTTGTACCATGTGCTATCTGTAAACTCCCTTATTATAGTAGCTTATTTATCTTGCACACAACCCGCAGATTCTCCGCGTGATATATACTTGACAGATGCAAACAATGTTCAGTGCTATTATGAAACTTAGTGCTCATTATGACTATGATTAAAGTAGTTATTCGAAGAATTAAAAAAAAAAAAATCTTTCATCATTGTAATGCTGAAACTTTAATTGAACAATTTTATCAAAATTCAGTGCTTGGAATCATTCGAAGTAACGATTGTTATCAATTACTACACGCTTAAATACAGCCCCGGCATAGCACCTGAAGAGATCTGGGAATGCTCTTTGGATGTGTGTCTTATCGCTGTACATGTACAAACAAAATGTAAAACATGATACGTATAACAAACTACATATACTTACATTACACAATCCAAGAGTGGGTACACCTTATTCATCCCATACAATTCCTTATTTTTCCACCAACCTCACTTTGGGGGTTATCTTGATAATGTAGTGAAAACAATTTCCCCAAATCCTGTAAATATTCGAATCAGGGACCCGTTTCACAGGCCTTCTTTCAATGACAAATAACAACAATCAGTGAAAAATCTGCTGATAACCAATCAGACGCAAGTTTAACAAAGACTATCATTTGTCAGTGCTGACAAGTTTTATGAAACAGGGCCTAGGTAAGTTATAGTTCACTGGCTTACTCTTTAACTACTGTGATATGCACCCAGTCCCTGAAGAACAGTATCTCTCCGTCAGTCTCAGTCTTTGAACTTGCAGGAGATCTCAAGCACGCAAAGATCTCCTCCTGGAGATCTTTAGAGGCCGTTCTTCTGAAGTTCTTCGTGTGGGTCCAGAAGTCTAGGAGATGTTGTCCATCCTGGGAATTCTCTTGGAAGCATAACGAGGAGGGCGTGCACCATGTGCCTCTGTCCAGCCTGTGAGGGAGTCTCAAAGAGTCGAGGGACGCCGTGACGTCTTGGTCCGTCCATAGGCGTGGCCTGGATGCGCCATGTTTGATTTGAATATCATCCAACTTGTTGAAGACCGAATCATCTGAACAATATAAACGTCAATAAAAATATAAATATACATATACAAGTGCACTATGTATACATTTTTGCCAAGATTAGGTAATCTTCCAAGTTAATCAAACATGACATTGTTCTTCTATAGAGCACACCAGGATCGTAGGCCCTCACAATGCGCTTTGAAAATGAAAGTTTAATCAATGTTGGAACTATTAAACAAATTGTTGGTACTTTATTTGTATAAATGGAGCAGATTTACTTAAATTCATCAACAAAACATTGCCTATGTAACACAATCAATTGAAGTATTGATTGATTCATTTAATGATTGATCTTTTACATTTTATTTCCGTCTATTATACAGGGTACCATATTTTCACAAATAGTGGTGCTCTTTCATATGATGTAGGTCCTGTTAGGTAACAACAAAATACAATATCGATCATAAATATATACTCATAATAGAGACAAAACAGAAGACATAATGATACAAACATATACATGTATCAATTAACATTCTTTGGTATCCTCGTAACGATTGGGAACTTTTTCATCAAAATAGCTTCACAAAGTTTCGAAAAATTAAATACAAAGTAGAAAGATGATTGATTTAATTTGATTTGATTTGATTTATTTATTTTTGTTTGGTTTTTGTTGTTGCATTTTTACAAATATATAACAAACAAAACGTTGCACATTTTACACATTTCCAAAGAATATAATGTCGAATAAAGTAACTAATCGAAAACATCAAACAGGAGGGTTGACAAAGTAAGCAAAGCTTGATAGCATAACTATCCTCAATGGATACATAATAATAATGACTTTGAAGCATTTCTTTGTCAGCCAATCGAATTATCAGAGCATTGTTATATTAGCATATCTATCAGCTATTGGAAACCTGTTTGTTTAGTTTTTGCTTTTTTTGTCTTTGAATGGCCCCTGAGTACTACAATTAGACTGCCATTCCTTATACCTGAAACAATGTATTACAATATACGCCAGCGTTGTGTGTAATGTGACCCTCAGTCGTTTCCTATACGCATGCTATGTAACAGAACAAAACAAATATTTATACCGGATAGGACAATAAATGGAGGCCCCTTGTTTAAAAGAGCCATCACCTTTTCACGTTGATAACCTACTGTACTATTCATATAAGAGTTGAAGGGGGAGGGGTGACCTTGTTGTAGTGATCCACCTCCACATCCCCGATCTGTTATATCGGGAGGAGCGACCAAAGGGTTGCAGTCATTCAGTTCGCTTTCCCATTCCTAGTCACAGGTGATGCCAAGTACTTAAATAATGATGATAATAATAATGATGATAATGATAATAATACTAATGCTAATGATAATAATACTAATGCTAATAATAACAATAATAATAATAATGCAAATAATGATAATAATAATACAAATAATGATAATAATAATACAAATTGTGATAATAATTATAATAATGATAATAACGTCATATTTACTTGGCAATATTGATATGAAGAGAACACCCCCTTCTTCCAAGGCCTGATGTAGTACACGAAGAGTTCTGGTGAGATCGTCGGTATAGTACAGGGAGTGTACGAGGTGGATAAGATGAAACCTTTCACATATCCCGCCGCTGCCACCCAGGTTAGACTCCAACTCTTCAACGTAGCGGTCGACGGTGTCTTCCCTCCAAGTGAAAGTCACGTTGGGTAGATCTCCTTTGTCTTCTTTCACTAACTCTTTAAAGAGGGAGAGCTGTGACTCTGACGGTTCGACGATCGTGTTGTGGACTTCGGGAAATAAAGGCAACAGTTTCGACATCATCTTGCGGTCGATGTCTCCTGGGCAAAGAGAGAGAGAGGAAAATGAAGGAAATATAGGGGAGACACCGCCAATTATGCCCTGTATGATGTGAATGTATACGTGTATGCATATGTATAACAGACTCAACACAAAATGAAGCTGTGATCGGTATTTCATCCTAATTTTGTGTTGGTTGTCTCTTTTTAAATTTCCTCCGTCACAGAAAAATGTCTCCTCTTTTAAAGGGATTGGGTAACTTTGCCTTAGATTCTAAAAACGATCCTGCATTAAGCTCATGCTGCGATCACGATTATAAACCTTTAGGTCATACAAGAATCCCATGACTTTTACAAACCAATCGCCTGTCCAATTATCAAGATATCTATGATTGGAATGAGAAATTTCACAATTCGTTTTCCTAACGGTTTTTATAACAATACAATCTACTTGGAAAAATGAGTAAGGTAAAACCGGTCACTAATTTTTTTTTTTTTTGGAGGCACTTCATGATCATTTTGAAGCGCAATTTGTTTAGGGCTTCAACATTTCACCACATCACAGACACTGATAACACGTAGGGCCATGCATCTCAGACTTAAGATTGTTCACCGATGCCTTTATTTTGTATATAAAATATATATATGTATATATATATATATATATATATATATATATATACAGAGTATATACTCAAGGTGAAATATGAGGGGATGAAACAAGGCTTCACTTTGAGTTTAAAAAAAAAACACAAACAGAACAACAACAACAAATTAGCATCAATCACAAAATATGACATCATATATATTCAGAAAGAGTTACTTACTTTTGCCAAAACAATCCCTAAACGAGACAATCATATGGCATAAATCTCAAAACATAGTAAAACGAAATATATATGAAAATAAATATCCACTCATATTAACCTGCTCCACTTCCGATTCCTAGCACTGTTAGAGGTCTCTTTGTCATGATCCTGGAAGAAAGTCCCCCAACAACAACTTCAGCAAACGCCTCCTCGCTCCAATTTCCAACGGGCCCACTTTTGGTGGCGTAGCCAAGGTAGGTTTGATGGGCGACTGAATAGTAGTCCAAATCGTCCAATATATAAGTTAGACCTGCCATCTTAGACTCTAATTCTGCAGAAAATGGAGCAATGTATATAAATGTTTAGTGTTATTCTTAGTGGTGATGGTAGTAGTAGTAGCCGTAGTGGTGGTAGTAGTAGTAGTAGTAGTGGTGGTGGTGGTGGTGGTGGTAGAAGTAGTAGTAGCAGTAGTAGTGGTGGTAGTATTAGTAGTACTAGCAATAGTAGTGGTGGTAGTATTAGTAGTATCAGTAGTAGTGGAGGTAGTAGTGATGGTGCTAGTAATAGTAGTAGTAGTAGCAGTAGTAGTAGTAGTATAAGTAGTAGTATATTTAGCAACGGTAAAGTGGGTTCTTAACGTGCAAAGGTGGTGACACTTCACTACACGGGGCCTCCATTTAACGTCCTATCCAAGGGACGGAGTACATGTACTACGTTCTGATCGGGTTAATTTCATATCACTTGATAAAACGACTGTAAGCCACTGCCTAGTATTAAAATGAATTTAATTGATTAAAAAATATTCCTTACCCGTTTATAGGACTGGATCCCTGTGATATGAAAGTAGGTCCTATAAATATCGACCCGTATTTCCAACGCCAGAGGGTCAAAGCATGGATGGTCAAGGCTATTCTATTTAGGTTATGGAAAAGACAGTAAGTACACAGTTCACACACACATCTACGGACATTTTTGTGAAACGGCATGACGTATATACCAATTGGTCCTGTCCAGTACCACCTTAGATGTAGATGTAGACAGGGCGTGAAACGATGGCTGAATAGTAGTCCAAATCGTCCAATATATAAGTTAGACCTGCCATCTCAGACGGTAATTTTGCATAAAAAATGGAGCAATGTATATGAACGTTTAGTATTATTATTAGTGGAAGTATTAGGCCTAAACAAAAAAGATGTTGTATTGCCCTTTAGGTGCCAAAACATGGGTCGGTCGGTCGGAAATCTTTAAAAAAAAAAAAAAAAAATTGGTACTCTCTCTTTGGGCTGATATTTCTCAGTTTTGAATGAGTAAATACATATTTCTTTCCTAAAAGACGGATTTTTGTTTGTTTAATCCGTACATTTCAAGATTTTTTGGTCGGTCGCAAAGGGCAATACAACATATTTTTTGGGTTGGCCTTAGTGGTAGTAGTAGTGAAGGTAGTCGTGGTTAGGGTAGTAGTGGTATGTAGTAGTTGTAACATAACCGCAAATTTGTAATATACTTGTGTAATTTATATTGTAAAAGAAGACAAATCTAAACAAATAAATAAATAATAGTACTATAGTCAATCATATTCGTCCACAATATACAATTTAATTTACAGTGTCAACTTTCTATCAGGCTCGACTAGATATCAAAGGCTAATAGAGTGGTGAAGTGTGACGTCATCAAAAATCTATTTTTAGAATTTTTCAATTGTTTCTTCATATTCCGAAAGAACATCAAAAATAATGTCCAAATGTCGAAAACCAATTGAATATGTTTAGTATTGGCTGAGATGTGACCATCTGAATGAATATATGTCCTATGGGAACTCAGTGCTATATGCTCTGGCTCCTATAGCACTGAGTTCCTATGGGGAGTATATTTATTCAGATGGTCATATCTCAGCCAAAACTTGACATATTCAATTGGTTTTCGACATTTGGACATTATTTTTTGATGTTCTTTCGGAATATGAAGAAAAAATTGGGAAATTCTAAAAATAGATTTTTATGACGTCACAGCTTCGGTACTCTATATAAGCCGACAAAGTATTCCTTACCCGGTTACAGGCCTTGATCCATGTGATATGAAGGTAAGCCCCTATGCATATCGACCCGCATTTCCAACGCCAGAGGGTCAAGATATTCTCTCTAGGTTGGGAAAAAGAGAGTAAGTACAAAGTAGACACACATTTACGGACATTCCTTGAAACGGCATTGTTATGCATGATCGATCATTGGGCCATCAATAGGCCATTTTCGTTATGTAATCAAATGTAATGCATACGTCTTTGTGAAGTGCCTCAATACAAATTATTTCATTCACCTGATAAGAATAATAGCATTTCAATAGTCAGAATGCAAACTGCATATATTAAGTTTTGCTAGGTAGGTAAAGTCATGTTTGTCCTACCTGGCAACAGTTAATGTATGCAGTTCGGATTCTGTCACTCTATTGAAATACTATTATTCTTACCAGGTGAATGACAACATTTGCATTGAGGCACTTCACAAAGACTTATGCATTACATAAGTGTCGTGGTCGAGTGGTTTAAGGCGCTTGACTGTAGATGCGAAGGTCGAGGGTTCGAATCCCGACACGGCACTAATATCCTTTGGCAAGATATTTACCTGCACTTGCTACTCTCCACCCAGGTGTTAAATGGGTACCCGGTAGGATGCGAACGTTCATGTGGTTGAACGAGCAAGTGTGCGCCTGTAAAATGGCGACTGGCTGGAATGCTCCCCATGGAGTGGGAAATGTGCACACATTGTGTGCGGGTAAGCCTGAATCCGATGACCGGGGTAATAATATATCTGTAAAGCGCTTAGGTACATCGTTGGATCGGTGTATTGAGCGCTATATAAAAAAAAACGGATTATTATTATTATTATTATTATTATTTAGTTACATTACGAAAATGGCCAATTTAATACGTAAGTCTTTGTGAAGTTCCTCAATACAAATTATTTCATTCACCTGATAAGAATAATAGCATTTCAATAGTCAAAATGCAAACTGCATGTATTAAGTGTAGCAACAACTAATGTAAGCAGACTGGATTCTGTCTATTGAAATACTATTATTCTTACCAGGTGAATGACAACATTTGTATTGAAGCACGTCACAAAGACGCATGCATTACATTTGGTTACATTACGAAAATGGCCAATTTAATACGCAAGTCTTTGTGAAGTTCCTCAATACAAATTATTTATCTATTAGGGATTTGGTCACGGTCTTCCCCTATCAATTTGTCGAAAATCTTGCGAGCAAGTTAATCACTCAATACACCATTTCGTAGTTAGCACATGGGTCAAATGACCCCAAATATTCACAGATCTTTTACTCACGGAGAAATCCCACTTTGTGTATTTTAGAATAATCAATGCCAAAGTCATTTATGTGCTTCATGAAAAACTTGTTTTTGCCCCCCTTGTATGATAGAATGTACCGTAGGTGCACACATGAATAATAGAGACTTTTAGATTTGCACGTCGACAGCTTCGACTGCAACGTGTTACGCCATTTTAAGGCACTGCGCATGCGTTATGTCGTCTCAGTCGGCGATCGAGAAAGCGTCATCCTTGATTTTACTAAATCTAGTACATACATACGTACATATTGATATTTATATAGCGCCTTTATACATGTTCAAGGTAGTATGCCGCGTGCGCATAAAAATATACATATAAATATGCATATTCACCTGTTCTACACATTTTTACATAATAGCAGTGAAGGGATGTTGTTTTGTTGAGGGTAGAATGAGGAACTGTATATTTTGTCCTCTCTCTTTGTCCGTGATGTTGATAGTGTTACTTCCTGCATGCATGTATATCTTTGAGTGCAATCTAAAAGATTTCTAATTGTAGTCAACGTTGTCAGTTAATTACGTTGACACGCATGATTAGTCGGCGTTCGTCGTGTTCTCGTCCACTCAATCTAACAGTCCATAATGATTACATAACATGAGCATATTCATCTCGTTGGGTTTTACAATTTCATCACAAATGACCTTTATCTGCCCATGTTAGAAGTATTTACGAAATACATTATTCTGCAACACAAGCTTGCTCAATATGCTTGTTTAAGTCTTATTTATCAAATCAGAGAGGTGGGAGGACATCGAAAGGAATTCGTTACCATTCAAGATAAATCCTCGGTTGAAAGGGATGTTCGCTCAGGCGTGCCTCATGGCTCAGTATTAGGGCCGCTTCTGTTTATTATCCTGTTTAATAATCTACCCCAGTATCTAAGTTAGTGTGTATATGTATGCAGATGATGCAACACTGTTTGTAAGAGGAGCATCTATCCAAGAGATTAAACAAATCTCGAGACAGGCCTATTGTAAACTCCATGAATGGACATTGATGAACAAAATGATTTGAAACACACACGTTTGTCGGCTCGCATCAAAGGATCAGTACATTTCCCTGTTGATTAAACAGAAACTGGGAATAGTACGCAGGCTCCGTGAATCTTCACAATAGACCAGTTCACGGTTAGCACCTTACTGCAATGACCCCAAATATCCACAGATCTTCAAAACATGAAGAGGTCCCACTTTATACATTTTGAAATAATCACTCCTATAGCGATGGGGGTGCTTTTATAAATAGCCTTTGTTCCCCCTTTTCAAAGAATACTTTCACCTGTGTACCATGGAGTGCACTAAATGTGCATTAATGAATAATGTTACATAACATTCATGAGCACGTATCCAGTATTTCGTCTCCGTGTATTTCAAAATTTGTTCTGCAATGACCTTTATCTGCTCATGCTCAGACTGCAACCGTGAACTGGCTTATTATACTGGGGATATATATTACCGCATTTTAATAGGCCAGTTTCGTTATGTAACAACATGTAATGCATACGTCTTTGTGAAGTGCCTCAATACAAATTATTTCAATCACCTGATAGGAATAATAGGATTTCAATAGTCAGAATGCAACTACATATATCAAGTGTTGCTAGGTAGGTCAAGCCATAATGTTTGTCCAACCTGGCAACAACTAATGTATGCAGTTCGGATTCTGTCTATTGAAATACTATTATTCTTATCAGGTGAATAAAACAATTTGTATTGAGGCACTTTACAAAGACTTATATGCATTACATTTGGTTACATTAAGAAAATGGCCTATTGCTGCACAGTACGGTCTAGTCAATTTAAATATAATGTCGATGTCCTAAATAAAATTCATAAATGAGCAGCTGATACTGTTTCTAGACATATCCCCAGTAAAATTGGTTTCATGGAAGACCAGCTTTTAAAGGTACTATGTCCCATTTGCAGGCCAAACAAATGAAAAAGTTAAATTCCAACTACAT